TTGTTAAAGTATTCAATCCCTGTTTTTCTCCTCTCAGTGTAACAATCATGAAATTCGCTCGGGCAAACATATTGGCGTGTGTATATCAGTGGCAAACAACAGACTCTTTGTGGGCTCCATTCCCAAGAGCAAGACAAAAGAACAGATTGTTGAAGAGTTTTCCAAAGTCACAGGTGAGCTTTGCTTTGAAATGAGCGTGCATTCCTCGCTCCATGCTGCGTATCTCTGTGTCCTCTCAATATGCTCCATTCTTTTGGGTTCTTTAAAGATTCTAAGATACACATTTAACGTTCTTTCTCTTTTTCTCAGAGGGTCTTACTGATGTAATCCTTTACCATCAGCCGGATGATAAGAGAAAGAACAGGGGCTTCTGTTTTCTGGAGTACGAGGACCACAAAACTGCAGCACAGGCTCGACGGAGGCTCATGAGCGGGAAAGTGAAGGTCTGGGGCAATGTGGTCACCGTCGAGTGGGCCGACCCTATTGAGGATCCTGACCCGGAGGTCATGGCAAAGGTCAGAACATGATCCAGTGCTAAACCACAAGGTGTTCTCTGTAGTGAAGGGTTTGTACTGAAACTATGAGACGAGCAGTTAAATCCGAGATTCTCTTTCCACACTCTCTTCAGATAACATTGTTCTGAAGTAGTAGTCAACCTTATGTTATATGTGTGCACTGTTGATCGAAGTCTCAGGGTTTTCAAATGACCAAAATGCGGGACAGATATAATGGTGCTTATATTTAGGCCCCGTCTTCTCTTACAGCTAGAGAGCTCATGTTGTCATCTCATCTGCTGCTTAGGTGAAAGTGTTGTTTGTCAGGAACCTGGCAAACAGCGTCACGGAAGAAATACTTGAAAAAGCTTTCGGCCAGTTTGGCAAACTGGAGCGAGTGAAGAAACTGAAAGACTACGCCTTCATTCACTACGATGAGAGAGATGGAGCGGTCAAGGTAAGAAATGACCAGGTGCAGGTTTCTGGTTGTTAGGGAAACCGTGTGTTTTGTTGAGCGGTCGTTACAGTGGTGTGACGGTATGGATGTGTGCAGGCGCTGGCAGAAATGAACGGTAAAGATTTAGAGGGGGAGCACATTGACATTGTGTTCGCCAAGCCACCCGACCAGAAGCGGAAAGAGAGGAAGGCGCAGCGTCAAGCAGCGAAGACGCAAATGTGAGTTTGGTGTATTTACATCAGGGGAGTCCAACCCTGCTCATGAACGGCTGCTGTCCTCTAGACTTCAGTTCCAACTCTTATCCAGCACACTTGGTGTGAACACCTTGATTTAGGGCTGTCACTAGCAATTATTTTGCTAATCGAGTAATCTGTTGATTATTCTGATGAGTAATAGAGTAATCAGATAATTAATAATTCACTTTTTTGTAGTAAAATAATAGACCCAAGCGAACACTAGCCTTTAAAATTACTTAAAATGGTTCAGTGTTTCCTTTTTAATAAATTTGCAAAGTTGTGATAAATCC